CAACTTTTAAGTTTTCTTTTTCCAATGTTTCCATACTATTTTATTATTTACTATTGATATCTCTCTGCAAACAGCTTAAATCTTTACTTTATATTTTCTTTCTACTTGATAACAAGATACCGCAAAAAGAGAAAGTAAAGTTAAATCTAACTGATATTACCAAAAATCAATAAAAAAAAAACAAATTCTAAAGAAGTTTTTTCTTTCAATTCTGTAACATACAAAAAAATTCACTCATACAGTATCACAAAGATAATTTTCATTTTAGATATCTTCTTTTACATAGTAAACTGAATATCCACCCACTCTTACAAAATTAATGTTTCCAAACTCAAAAGTATATTAGTTTCTTCCTAACTATTTGTCTGCTTTTTAAATATATTAAATAAATATTTAATATACTGACTTGGAGACAAGTCAACAATGTTATCTAAGTTATGTATGACAAAAACATCCTATCCTATCCTATCCATTTAGTTGTGTCCAACTCTTGGTCACTCTAAGGATCAAAGCTCTCCATGCCTCTATCTTGCACAGCCTCTTTCAGTTCCGTTATAGACAATTTAATATCTCTTTTAATTGTGTCGAGCCACCAAGTCCTTGGTCGGCCTCACACTCTTTTCCTGCTAACTATGACAGCATGACCGCCTTCTCAAGAGAGCTGGTTCTTATTATATAACCAAAAAAGGACAATTTCTGTTTGATTATCTGGGCTTCCAGTGAGATTTTTGGTTGGACTCTGTTTAAGACAGTTTTATTGATGATCCTTGCTGTCCATGGGATGCACAAAATCCATCTCCAACACAACAAAAATATACATTATTCCATTCATGAATAAATATTTCAAAAGTTTTGCAGCAAACATCCTACATAGTATACAAAAACAATAGAGTACTCTATGTTCATCTGAATTTTCTCAGGGATAAAGACTATATATAAAGAATATTTGAAAACTAATCTGCAAATCTCCATATTCGATTGATGCAGAGCTGATCCATTTCATGTGATGTGATGTGATGTGATGTGTTTGTATTTGACATGACAATTCATCAAGGCTCGGTACAATGCAGCGAGATGTGATTATAAGATGCATGCGCTTTGCACAAAAGACCTTGAGAGAGCATGAAAGTGCAAGTGGCTTTGTTTACTTCTTACTGAAACACAACATAGCACATACACATGCAGTAGAGATTAATATAGTGTATTATTGTTGCAACAAATAAAATGTTTCTTTTATTTATGATATTTTTTTCCTTCAAATTATTTGTCCTCCTTATCATTGTAAAAAAGTTGGTCACTTTAAATAGTGTGAAGAGATATTAGACATAGGAACTCATACTATTGCTGCTACTAATGGGTTGGCTGATGAAATATGTGCAATTTTATGGAGCATTGGAACCTATTCCAAGTGTACTCTTACTGCTTAACTGTGTATGTTAGTGTGTGCACATCATTGTACATTTTACAATCTCTTGCAGTTTATATTTTTTTTACTGATTGATTAATTCATAATTATTGTATTTATTTTTTCCATTGTATTAATCAGTTTTCATTATTGATCATTTTACTAAATTATCAACACTAATTCTTACTGAATTACATATTTTGAATTTGTCATCACGGTATTCTTCATAACTTTGCTGATTAATATCCATAAACTAGTATAAATAAATATATAAATCATGCAAAAATAAGCATTTTAGTTATTTTATGTTAAAATCTTGATTTTCTACTAAAAATCTACTTTTCTACTATATACTACTACTAGCTGAATAACTTTTTTAAACTGGCCCCACCATTTTCTAAGTAGACAAACTATCACTGATTTAAACACTTTAAAACCATCTCTTTTACAGATTTTTTGTTGTTAAAAAATATAAATTTTTTATAATTAAAGCACACAATGGAATAGAAAACCATGACAATATACCACTATTATACAAAGTATAAATTGAACAGATTCTTGTGTAATATCAATATTCAAGTAATAGGATTATTTTTAAGAGTATAAAGCCGATATTATAGTATTAAAACAAATAATAATAATAGTAATTGGAAAACAACACGCACAAACTGTATTACGACAGAGCCATACACAGATAAAACAATTTACCACAACAGACCAGACATCACACTCATTGACAAACACAATAAAATCACATACATTATAGACATAGCCATTCCAAACACTCACAATGTACAAAACACATGCACTGAAAAAATTAGCAAGTACACAGAACTTGCCCAGGAAATAAGATATCTGTGGAGGATGGATAGGGTGCTTATTGTACCTGTCGTTCTCTCCTGTACAGGTGTGATACCACACACACTACACAAAAACCTGGGAACATTATAATTGAATAGAAATACATACATCACACTACAGAAGGCCACTATATTGAATACATGCCATATTGTTAGGAAATTCCTGAATACAGATACAGACACACTTATTTAATTTTAGTTCTTGGCTGCTATGCCTTGACTCTGGTCCTGCATAGTACACAGCCACTGATGTGTACCAAGTATAACCCACTAAACCCATAAATGACATAATAATAATAATACAGTAGAACCTCAATTATCCGGACTAATTGGGGATGAAGGTAGTCCGGATAAGGAAAAGATTCGGATAATCGAAACAAATACTTTAATTTGTCTTTTGATAATACAACACGTTTTCTTTTCGATGACATATCGGTAATATTAAAAATAAATACTGTATTTAAATCGTGATCAAATTTTCAAGAAACAAACGTTCGTATTGAATTTGGACTACTACTGACCAACGCTAACAGACTACCTATTGTTTAAAAGGCCCTCTGGTGGTGCGAGTAGACGGTTTTTATAAAATAAAAAGCAGTTGAAACTGCATTTTTATGAATAAAAATTTGACAATCTATTTATCATTTTATGACGAGTAAAAATTTTTCGTCACGTTCATGGCTTTTAAGTAATACATAAACCTTCGAGGCGCGAGGCCCTTCGGACCGCGTGGCATAGGCGGTGGCCCACGTCGTCCATGTCTTACGCCGCCCTGGTCATAGAAATGATGTAATTTGAATATAAATTATTTATAAATACGTATGTCAAGTTATATTTTTATTACTACGTAAAATATATTTAAGAGTTTACGACCACTGTGCTGGGTGAGACGTTGTTGAAACAAAAAAAGTTATGCATTCCATCACGTACATAAACAGTGTCGTAATT